ACAATCTTCAGAAAACAACATCCAAACGTCACAATAACGCTGTCCGAATCAAGGATAATAATACAGTAACCAACTCCCAGTAAGTCTGTCGCATACTGCATAAGATACATTCGGCTTTCCTGAACGAGAAATGAAAGGAAAAAAAAGAAAAAGAAAGAAAGAAAAAAAGAAAAAAAGAAAAAAAAAAACGAATAATCGTTAGCCCTAGCAGCAGCTTGAATCTCTGTGCAAATGCCTTAGTAGTGCATCCGTCAACGTAGCAATATTCGCGGCTATAGTACCTAGAGCACTTGTGCATCCCTGTGGTAATTGCATTCCATAGTTGCATGCCAATGTGTTAGATGTTTCCCTTTCAAGATACCAGGCTACCGGTGCACATCGCCGCAGAGACGATTTCGAGAGGATACGTTGTTAAAATGTTCCTTAACACTTGGTTACTCGTATCTTGCATCACGTACATATTATGCACGTGCACGTACCAAGAGGTCGGGTATTAAATTCGCAGTATCCAATATTGTACAGGCCACGTTAGAGGAATCGTCCGACAAAGCATAATCCCGCTTCGCAATCAATTTCTAGCTTGGCGACACAATTGGCCAGCGTTTCTCCAGAAACAGAAAATTCGATTTGCCCATTACGTGCATTACGTGTCACGCGTTTCTAACTGTTTGACGTCAGTCGGAAGCAAGTTGTTTATTTTTCATTTTCCTTTCTGCGCGATTCGCTTCGTGCTTTTGACTCTTGATTGGTATCGTCGGGTTGCGAAGGGAGATGCAGAGGCAGAATATTTTATTGAAGGTAATTTGTAATGTATCGTACAATAGTTTTAGTGGAGAAATCTTCAGTCGACGGAGTTAATTGTGATTGTATTATAATAAATAAGCTATTTCGTCGACTGATGGTTTTAATAATGAAACAATATTTTTCGCGTAGCGCAAGTTGTTTCTAATGAGCCATCTATATATTAATTATATGAGTGATATAACATAAATTACTAAAATTTGAAATATTTGATCTTATTTTGCATTCTATACTGTCTATGATACTGCTGAAATGAAATGAACTTGTAAAATTCCGAAGCGAGATAATTTAATTGTTTCATTTTAATTGTAATTACAAATGGCCCAATGATACCAGTTAAGGGTTGAAAAAAAGAAGTGAAAGAATTATTTTGCGAAAAAAATATCTAAGGTAAATGTTCTTTGTTTTAACTGCACGTTCCAATAATTGAAAAACGAATTAACCGAATTGCTTTGAAATCCATTTTGTTTCAACGTATATTGCTATTACGTAAATTCGAGAATGTGCATTATATTAAATTCATTGTGACACCATCAAATGCACGCAGATCGAATAAGTTTGAGTATTCGAACAAGCTTGATGTGGTTGGAAGCAAATCGAAAACGATGTAATTTTAATTTCTCCCTTGACAATTGCACGCAGTAATCTGTGTAATTGTGAAATAATTATTGTGCAAACTGTGAAAATAATTGCGACAATGATAATCATAATAATTTTCAATCGCAATAACGAAATGTTGAAATAAAATTCTATTTCACATAAGATACTCAATTGAGTGAATTTATAATCAAAGTTCAGAAACATTACCGAAAAACTCAAATGTAAGGAATGTTCAATATCAATATACCTACAAATATTTAAAATTAAATTCTTTGAAAATAAGCTTCAAAATTGAAAATAAGCAAAACGAAATATAATAACTTGTGTACGATAAAATGTTGACGAAGAAATTTACGAAGATCGCTAGACAATTGATGATGAAATTGTATAAACTTTTTTAATGTGATTCAGAGGAGTATACTACAAAAAATATTCATAAAAATATTTAAAAAATGCTATCGATAATAATTAGTTTAGAGGCTAGTCCTTAGATAAAATTTCTTGCGATTATATCAAGTACTTCAAATATTTCAAATGAATACAAGAAGCTTCTCACTATTAAGGATTGACACGATAAACAAAAATAAAACTAACATCTGAACCTATTATCAGTAGCATTTAAACAAATTATTTTATGAATTCATAACATAGCCTTTGGATCATAGTAAATAAGTTTAAGATTTAAATAACTTTAAATATTTCATTGCCAATTGAATAGTGGTCTTTGTGAAAAATTTTATGCAGGGTGTCTTAATTTTCTTGATGTAACCGAGAAAGAGATGATTTTTCTAAACCAGAGAGAAAGAATAATATTCTTTTTCGAGGAAAGTCGAGTTTCAAAGTTTATCAAGTATACTTGAACTTATTTAATTTCAGACTAGATCGAGGCAAACAATCGACAGGAGGATAATCAACGTATGAAAACTGAAAAACATAAAATAAAATTTTTCTCGTTCTGTCTTCAAGAAAATAGATTCTCAATCAAGTTTTTCACATTCTTGAAAACAGAACGTACTGAAGAATTTTATTCCACGTTTCTCGTTCATTTTCGTACATAGAGTAACTTTCTGACAATTATTCACCGTCTGTCCAGTCCATATAATTCAAATACACTTAAGAAACGTTCAAAATTGACTTACTCAAAAAACGAAAAGCGCTGTGTAAGAAATTTATTCCACTCCATTTCTAACTTCTTTTTCTAAACAGAATGTTTCCTTAACCATTTTCACCACGAAAATTAAAACACCCTCTATATATAGTAGGCCCGGTTAATAACATACACTGTTATTTCCTGAACTTTCTAAAATTGCGAAAAAAATGTTTCAAGCAAAAGTTGCATGGTTTTCCGGGGGATATATAATACTTTAATTGTTTTGTTGTTATTTTGCTTTTTCATCGAGATACGACGATCGCTTTCAATTTTTCAAATAGAATGATATATGTATTTTTTCATCCATTAGGCAATTCATTGACAGTTCGACATTCTCTCTCTCTCTCTCTCTATATATATATATATAATTATCTCTTTATATTATATATATAAAGAAAAGATATCAATCTATATATTACGAAAAGCTACGAAGAGACGTTTAATTTTAATTCTAATTCTGTTCGGGGGATATTTCAATCCCAGTTCCGCCAAATCTGTATAAAACGAGAAAATTAGCGATGTTCTTGTGTCCGCGCTATCCTCGTACATAAATTCTCTAAAGTTAAAGTCAAACCATCTTCTGAACCAATAATATCTCGCAATACGTACAGATTAATACCTCTTCGTGAGATTGCGACATACGTCGTTCTAAAATTCGAAAATGTCCATCGTCTCTCGATAAGAAAGAAATCGAATCCCCTGGAAACAATTTTCAGCGGTTATAAGGAAACAACAACACGACGGTGCCATAAGCCCGTGCATAGTGTGCAAACTCTGAACGAAAACTGTCATGGACAAGCCGCGGACAGTTCATTATCACGATCGCGGCGTAAAAACAGGAAGGGAGGGAAAAGGATAAAAGGGAACACGGCTCTGCGAGCCGCAAGTATCAACACGGGACGTGCACACGGGAACACACACGCACACACGCACACACATAGAGCGAACTATAGCGCGAGCGTTTAGGAGACGCGTTAGGTAACAAGTCCTCTCGATGTCGATGGGGCAGGATGGCGAAACCGGGCAAAGCCTAAATTAAAAACGTTTTTGCGAAACCGCTTGTTTGTGTTTTTCCTCCGTGCGCGCGCAAATAAGCACGCTTTACACCCCCCCCCCCTCTCCCCCGTTTTACGAGATACAGCTCTTTCCACCCTCTGTTGTTGTCCGCGCTCTTTTTTTCATTTGCCATCTTCTCCTCTTCGTTCTTCGCTCGCCTGATCTCTCCTTCTCTCTTTATTTTCTCGCCTATCTGTGTTCTATACCCTCCGTTTCGATACGGGGGAGTCCACCCTCGGTGGATCGACGCGGGAACGCGGCCCAATCCCGAGTCGCCGAGAATGAATGCGTAAGAGAACCGTGTGACCTGGCTCGCGCGAGCGTAAAACCGGAGATCTGGGATCGAGAGGATCTCTCCTGATAAAAACTACTTCGCCGTCTGGCACCGGTAGAACGTTTATGTTTCACGAATGGGCGATTAGCACGCGAGCTCAACCCTTCGTTGCTGCTACTGGCCTTCGTGGTCTTCGTTTTTCCCAAGAAGGCGGAATATCAACATAGTATTGTATTTTAATATTTTTAATATTCGAATGTTGTTACACTGTCAGAACAGAATTTATTCTACTCCGGCGATGTAATATTCGAATATGGAGTTGATCGTACAAGGGAGAGACTCCGCTGTACACTAAATTCTTAAAAAGATACTATAGAAGACCACGGAGGAGCGCAGCAGGGGATGATTCGTCATTGGAAAATATTTGTCAATTTTCCAAGACGAGTCGTGAAACTTTCACCTTCCAATAACGAACCGACTCGTCTCGTAAAGCTTCAAGTATTTTCCAATGATTAGCTAACTCGTCGTGAAACTCTAATACTTTCCCCAATTTCTGCCGCGAGTCTGAAGTTTTACGACGACGAACGAATTCATCGTCCTCGGTCGAAGGGTTGAAGGGTCTAAACCAAACGTTAGAATAGAAACGTGATCTAGTTCGAGTAATCAAGTAGATGTTACGTTATAGTTCGATCGCTGGCAACTTTCATAGGCCATTTATATTACGAGACATAGTACATGTGTGTACCACGCGAGTGCAGACAACAGTGCTGTAAACCAATAGATTTAGTATGTCGTGTGTAAATATCAATAGCCGGCGTCTGCCCACTCTCGATCCTTGAATCTGATTGAATGGAATTTCCTTCCCTGTGTGCGTGAAAGCGAAGAAAAAAAAAAATGATGAGTCGATTCGAATGAAAGATTGCAAGGGATGAGATACTTATCAGGTAGATAAAGGATTCGATAATGATTGCGAATGTATGGCTCGCCTCTGGGCCAGTAACCTTACAGTCTTTCATTCTTGAAGATGAATCGGGTGGATGCTCGATCCATTACCGTGACTAATCGCCTCCTTTTTATGTTTCTTTCTTCGGGGTATCTTCTGGAACACCCCGAATTCAGGGTCGTACTTCAATTGCATCATGTTCATGGTGGCGAGCAGCGTCGTTTTGACGGTGTTGGTGCTCAACTTTCATCACAGAACGCCGGACAGATACATCATGCCGCAGTGGGTAAGAAACACGTACAAACAAATTATAAATAGACTTTCTAGTTGAACTGATTAATTCCTTTCTGTCAAATTTTTTAAAATTTCAAGTAATTTGAAATTTAAATGGTATAATTTAAAATATTTATTTTTAATTATAAATATATATATATAATTATATTATTTTATTATATTATTATTATAATTAATTTGTATAATTATAAATATACATACATATATATATATATAATTAATTTTAATTATATTATTTTCTAAATTTTATTTTTATTGTATTAATATTTTTATTATATTGTTTATTATATTATTCTTCATTACATGTTATACTTTCTAAGCGTCTAATTATTGTTTGTAATATTATCTATAGTAACTCAATGAGTTAAAAATTATTGCGTTTTATTGAATTGTCCCAAGTTGGACATCGAAGGAAGTTGCACTTAAATTACGAATAAAATAGTTTTAAGCTAATTGTGAACATGCTTACATGCTACAAAACATGCTTAAACATGCTACAATTATAAAAAGATGTAGAAACGTGAACGAAATTCTATTGGATTCTAGTGAAGACGAATTTCTCTTCTTCCTGAGAAATCTTTTAAAGATTTAATTGTACGATATAATAAAAATCTTGTCTGAAAACCTAGAATTATATTTAAAAGAATAAACGATAATATACTCGCCTATAGAGGGTTAACGGGACAAATTAAAGTGCATACACGCGTTAAAGTTGAAATTTCGAAAAAGCTCTTTTCACATCTCCTTTGACCACAATTGGTCAATTTTAACGAGCATTTCAAAGCTCAAATTAAATGACTTAAATCTACTAATTGGTCTGCGGATTTTTAGGTATCTATAGGAGCTGCAAAAACGTGCAAAGTGAACATAATGTGTAAAAATATAAAAGACTCGAAACGTAATGCTCGTTATAATATTCAGTGGATGAGGTAAATTTTTACTTAGACTTCATTTATTTAATCATCAATTTAGTTGAAAATCTGCAATTTCGTCTTATTTTTCGTTCTTATTTGTTTCGTATGAGCATTATAATCACTGGTCTGTGTCATTATCATGCATTTATAGAAAATTTTTAAGTTGCACAGGATGCGAAAATTTCTATTTTTTTTTTTACTATATTTATTATATAATTATAATAATTAATTAATTGCTATATAACGTTATATAATGTATCAATAATTATATTATTACATTATTACTTACCATTATTGTTTATTATATTCATATATATTATGAATTTGCATAAATATCTGAAATCTAGTTACTATATTCTTGATTTCTTTTATATATTTAATTAATTATGTATTATAATGCATTATCATTATTTACAGTTAATTACACCGACGAAAGAGAGCATTTTTTTTCTCTTTCGCAACTTCGTATTCGATCTCTGTGATGAAACAATATTTTATTTTTCTTTTCTTGATTTTTATTCATTTTTTCTCTCTTTTATGATGAAGGAAGGTAAATAAATCGAGGTTCTCGCCCGGAGACAAGATAATTATGGTTGCTTTTGACCCTCTGTTTTATTAGCTACGAATAACAAAAGATAAAATTGAAGTTTGCGTGACCTGCTTCCATTATGAATAACAAGGGTTGACAAATTAGGGTAATAAATATTGGATCAAATAAATGTGTCTTCTGGGTTTCCTTGCGCAATTGAATTAACATTGATGATTAATATCGTTAAATACTTCTATACAAAAGTAATAGATTTAATAATAAAGTAATAATGAAATGAAAAATATATCACGAAATAAAAATTACAAATCATTTAATTATTCGTTTAACATAAAATTGTAAAAGTTATTTTAATTTTTATCGAAATGAATTATTTTGTTTCAATTTGTCAATTCACTAATAAATCACATGATCATAAATAGTTTATTACGTACAGAAATAGCAATTCCAAATAATTAGTTACACAATAATAATACAAAAATTATAAACATTCTAGAGTCGTTATTAAAAAATATGTTATTAGAAAAGTTAGAAAATATTGAATGATATCGCGTCAACATTAAGACAGGGCGTTTAAATTGTTAAGAATATTAAAAAAAGCCCTCGTACATCAATATATTTTTAATTTTCGTATTTTTATATTACTTGTACTATTATTGTATAACTCGTTATTGGAAGCCATTAAAAACATTTTATATTCTTTTTGAATACATGACAGAGCTGCAAGATACCCCTCATGTGTCAATACTTCTTTCATTATTTTGAATTATTATTTTATTATCTTTCATTTCATTTTTACATTATTCGACAGCTCATTATTGAAAATTGCTACTGTGCTGTACGTTACCTGTGTACGTAGTGAACTGTTTATAAAAATTTATACAGTTTTGTTAACGTGTCGTCCGTTTTCATAAAAATATCGCAGGGAAAACCAGTTGGCGCTGATAATTTTCTGATCCTGATTGTACACACGCCGGGATTAGGTAACAAGCTCTCAAAGCTCGTTGAGTTTTATCGAATGTGCCGGAAGAACTTCGACAGATGTATGCAAAGTGTAGCCAGTGTTTTCGTTCATAAAACTCCCGCCCTTATCCGCAGTGGCCATTACAGCCATTAAAGACAGTGCTTTAGTCGCTGAAAGTTTAAAGTGCCTTCGAGGCGTTAGCACTTCCTTTTGCCCGTTGGTTACTAGAACTTTCATAAACCAAGGGGGAAACGTACTTCAGCCGGAGACGAGAATCCTACCGGCTACGAAAAATTCCCTGCGTTAGTACTTTTCCCGTGCCATTATTTCCGGATGGGAAGCGAGCGCAACCGGGAAACAAAGAGTACCAATCTACAGCAAAAGAGAGAAACACCGTCCATGACCTGTGGTGTGTGTGTGTGTGTGTGTGTGTGTACGGTATTAAGTAATTCCAGTTGCACGAAATAATTTAACGAGAAAGGCGAAAGATTTTTCGTACTCCGTTAAATTCCGTTAAATGCCGACTTTTACGCCGGGGTGGAGCGAAATTTAATTGCGGGGTAGAAAAGTTCCATTTCGCGGAGAAGGAACGAGCGAACAAGGAACCAGCTACAAACAGGAAGTAATAACAAACGAGATGCTTCGCAAGAGGATTAATCCGGGAGTTGATAACAAGTGAAAGGTTCACTTTTGCCATTTAAAAATTGAAAACGTATACGTATGACTGGGACAGAAATCGAATTTTATTTCGTGAGGCAAGTGAACCCGAATGAGAAGTGACGAGTATGACGAAACGTTATGCGAGATTAATTCGAAAGTTAATAACAAGCCGATAATATCATCACTCATTGCTGCATAAGTTTCATACAATAATTTTCGAACAGACGTGTAAAATAAATGAATAATCAGAGAGAATATGTTCAACTTTGTGCAACAAAGCATAGGGAACCATACGTGAAAGAGATTAATTAAGAAGTTAATAGTGAACGATGTCGTAGTATCGTTTGCTATATGAATTTCACATATTTTACGTTTGAAAATGAAAATATGCTCAGGCATTCGAGAGAAAGATGGAAAATAAAAATAAACGTGACTTACAGGAAGGAAATTTAATTTCGCGAAACAGATAAACCAGTTACAAAAATAATAAACGAAATGTTCTACATTTAAGAAATTGAATTCAAAAATTAATAGTGAATAAGGGATTATCTACTACTTTTAATCTCAATACCTTTCTGCTTAGAAAAATAGAATTGCACACGCGAACACTTTCAATATCTCTCAAAACGTACAAACAAACAAAAATGAGCTCACATTGCTTTCAAAATAAACAGTCCGATAGATAAACAAATTTATGCAAGTCTAAATTTATAAAATAACAAAAATAATTATATATTATATATACATGTAAGAATACAAAATATAGATATTTTATATATACTGTGTATTAATATAATACATAATAATAATTTATTGTTATCACTATTAATACATATAGATACACATACATATAATAATAATAATATGTATTTTATATATAATATATACTCAATATATATTTTGTATTTTCATATGTAATTATATACTTTTGTATAATTATTTTATTTCTATATACATAATATACACAATTGTAATTTTATACAACAATATCAATTTTTTTCTTTTTCTCCGTAGATTAAAACGGTGTTTTTACAATGCCTGCCGTGTTTACTGCGCATGAGTCGTCCAGGGAAGAAGATCACAAAGAAGAACATTCTAGGAGGCAACCGAAGAGGAAAGAGCATAGAACTGAAGGAGAAGAGTAGCAAGAGTTTGCTGGCGAATGTTTTAGACATCGACGATGACATCCGTCACAAGAATAGCGCGGCAAATCCTCCTTCCGGTTACATAAGGTACTGCAGTCACTGAATATCACTTCTTGATTCCGCGGCAAATCCTCTTCCCTTTTTATCGTTAGAAGTTCGTGCCGCGAAAACTAAAGGAATAATTTAATCCGTTTAGACACCGGGAAACTGAAACTGAAAATTCGCGGAAATCCTTTTCACGTATTGCGTATTCCTTTGCGTGTACATTACTCGCTAAGGTACAGAATGTCTCCCATAGGTTCTCGTACAAACTTTGCTATACCACCTGTTAAAATTTGTATTTTCGCCGGTTGGTAGAATTTTTATTTCCGGCAAATATTCCGGGGTTAAAGCCAATCGATAATGTGTTTTTGTCATATTGCATCGGTGATTTTTGAATAATTAAAGCTTCCCTATACGTGTATTTCGTAACACAGTTCACTGCTTTTCTCCCATATGTTTTCTACATTTTGACGAACAATAAGCGTGTTACTCATATTTTGAACAAAATATTTTTCACTGTGTCAAAGCAGAGCACGAGGTATTTAAAAGTATTTACAAAAGTATAGTACAATAAAGTTTAGTTTACACTTTTTTGCAATTACAGTTTCTTTCATTTATGTGTATATACTTATGTTCATGATTCAAGTTGTCATTTACAAAATATTATGATACTCGTTATAAATATATAAATATTATTTGTATTATTTTTAGTCTTTTTTTTGTTATTTCTTTTCTAATCATATGTTATATATTATGTATTATTATATTATTATATATTATATCAAATTGTTCTATATTTTACTATATTATTATATTCTCTTGCAGTTAACTATTACACTACATTTTGTAGCAATTCAAAATATGAATATCGTTTGTTCGTTTCACGTTTTTACAGTTTTGTTCAACCCTTTCATTTTTTCTTTTTTAGTACTATGAAATTATCTACGAGTTCAAAAACATTGTTTTGGAACTTATTTGTCTGTCTGCATGGAATCATTCAATGTGCGCCGTCAACCCATATGTGCGTTTGATACTATTGTTATTTCTGTGCCTAGAGATAAAAAAAAAAAGCAAGCGCAATAATAGCAGTAAAAGCTATTTCTTTTATTGTACAAACGTTTACCTTGTAATATTTTTCTCAATCTATTACTCTCTTGCGTATTTTAACAAATCGTTGAAATCAATTACTACAATAACAGTAAATAGTCTTTATTATTAACATCCCGTTTTTATTGTGCATGAACTCTGCTTCGAGGTTTATCATATTCACGAAAGTATTTGAAAACCTGTTATAAAAAATTTTTGCAAATATGTTATACGCGAAAGTTTCAGAAATTTCATTAATTAAATGTAAAATCCAAGGATGTAATAAAATTATTATATTAGTAAAAAATTAAGTTAAAATTCTAATAATCCAGTTATAGAAATTATTCACTATGCAGCTAATAAAACAAATATAATATACAATGTGAATAATAATTTTAGACGTTTGAGATAGTTCTCTTAAATATGTATTAATATACTCATATACTTTTTAACGATTTTTATGAGGTATATAGTATTTCAATAAATATTATTAATAAATAGTCATGCAGTGACTTCAAACTGTTTTGTACACACACGCACATAACATATTTATTAAAATTAATCTGTTAAATGTTCAAATGTTTTCGTGTAAAGTACTGAATGTAGACAGAAATATTTATAACATGATTAACATAATTTATTATTAATGTTACATTTTTACGGTTAACACGGATATAGTAAAAATATCTCGTTGAAATTTCTGTATTTTAATTTTAAAATAATTTCAAATATAAATAGAATGAATATTATTTAGTAGAATATTATCTAACTTTTAAAGTTTTTTATTATAATAAATAGACTGTAAATAATTATGCAATTTCGCATTTTTATACTTATGTTGTGTTCTAAGAAATATTTTATATTTCTGCGTGCATTTCTCTGCAGTTTTTCATTCTTAAACTCCATATAAACGCGGTTTGGTAACTAAATAAACAGTATAATAACGCATGTCAATGTCACAGTTGATAGATATCAAGAACGTGATATCACGATTTGACAACTCGAATGCAAAAGCCTGGTATTTCCTAGGCAAAGTTTAGTGCACGAAGATAACATTTTATCCTATGCTCGGCTAACAACATGATCCAATATCGTCATTCATACGCTGTAACTTTAAACCATGCTAAAACACTTTTACGAAAAAAGCACGTGACTCGCATAATAACAAGCCTCCCCGCGACACGCCGGATATGTAAATGCAGTGCAAGTGAACACACGGCTATCCGCACGTGCTTTCGAATCAACATAGCTGGGATGACAACGTAATTCAGCGCGCGTAATCCTCGTTCCAACAGACATTCTACGCTCCCGGCTGCATCTCGAAAACGCCACGCAATAACATTTTCAAAATTCGAGTTATTTATTCGAGGTATTTCGAGCACCGAGCATTTATTGAAAAATCAGTGTTGAGAGTCATTCACTTGCCAGACAATTATTATTATTATTGTTATATATGTAGAATGTCGAGCTGCGTCAATCAGTGTATAAAAAATATATGTGACTTGATTTAAAAAAGTGGAATTGACCTTAAGATCTCGGATGGAAAGACCTAGATAAATATAGTAGTTGCTATGAGATGTGTCCAAATTTTATTTCGAATATTTTTTTTTTTAGAGATAATATATAGAACTCTGATACATTGTTACATACAGAGATAGAAAGATATATGTTTTTATTTAAAGAAGGATTCTTCGAATTTCCAAAACTCTTTCAGTCACAAGAAAAAATTGTCACAACCTCCTGTATGTTGAAAAATGTTCGTGAACAAAGCTTTTCACGTTTTCAAAAGTAACGGGAGATGTTCAAGCGCTAATTCTTATCGAACCACACTGTGCAATAAACCCCGAAATGCGTTAATGCGTGAATTAGGTAATCTCAACTTTGAAAGCCGAATTTCGTGTCTCCGTGTCTGTTGAATACAACATGTCAAGGATATGGAATTTTCCATCTACGAGAGTCGTTGTTCGTTTAAATTTTCAGCTAACCTCCGCCGAGAACATCTATTTCCTCCCTTCCTTTGATGCTTGCCCGTGATATCTCGCTGGTATCAAACGCTAGCTGAGACATTTCCAATAAAATAATTCCATATGCTTCTCGATGTGTCTGCCAGACGAAACGAGACGCGTCGAGATTTATTTATGAAACGCTTTAGCGCGAGATGTCCAATGAAAAGACAGTGACATGAGAATTGTTCGTATTTCCCGTCTGATTGATTTCACTTGTTACTTAGAATGATTATTTTTAGAAATTGTGTCTGAAAACGGTAGAAAAGCGCCGTTTTAAAAGGGAAAAAGTAACCTAAATAAGAGAAAATGAATGAATTAAACAAACTGTATTAAAATTTAAAATGGAACTTTTTATTTATCGAGCACATTAGGAATTTAAACTGTTGTTTAAGTTGTAAACTATTGTATGCTAAGCCTCGAGATTAAATTATTAAACTATTGCAGATTTTTCTATTAAGTTTCCAATACTATCAGAATGGTCAAAATGGTAAATTGGTAAATTAATCTTCTCAGAAAAATTTTCTAAAAAATCTTTAATTTGTGTTGGTTCCGAGATAGATTATAGCTTGCGTTCTTTACTACATTTTAAATCCTTTTTCTATTCTTTGTATTTTAATTTCTTTGATACAGGTTTTGTCAACTCTTAACTGACGGTATCATTGAACATTAGAGCCAAATATCAGTCGATTAAAGTAAACGAATTGTAATACTTACATTATGAATTATTTATAAATAAATATGCAAGTTTTTCGTTTTCTCAATCTTCTCAAAAAATACCACCGTGAAAACTAAAAGTTTCTACAGTTAACTGCTTCTTGTACTTTGAAATATTCCTGAAGAAAAAAAATATGATTCCCAATTAATTTCCCAATTTGTTGAATGCAATCGAGATCGTGTCTCAATTTCATTCCACCTTTTAACGTGAAATTTCCTAAATTTCTTTTTGAAAAAAAAACGAGCGAAGAATTTCCATTGAATTATCTGGTTTAATTGGACAACAGGTCGGCGTTCGGTACACCAATATCTACCGGGAGGCCAGCAACGGTCGAAGATACATCGGCATCGTTACCACTCAGCGGGATGCAGGAGGAATTGCACACGATACTCAAAGAACTGCGATTCATCACAGATCGCATGAAAAAGGCGGATGAGAGCGACGAGATCATTAGCGATTGGAAATTCGCCGCTATGGTGGTGGACAGGTTCAGTATATATTTTCTACGCGACGTTGCTTTCTTATTTCTTTCAAAATGAAAATCAAAATGAACAGCATTAACTGTATTTAACATGATGAAAAATCAACAATAGTGCATAATAAATCCTTCAGTTGATAATTATTGAGTAATTTGTAATTGATAATTTAAAACAATTACCGCAAAATTGAAAGGAATATCGAAATTGAAAGTATCATTATTATTACAGAATTTTTCAATGTGAAAATACATGGAGTATTTTCCGCAAGTTGTATCAATTTATTAAAATAATGAATTGTTTCTCACGTATTTTCGTATATTCTCCACTACGTGTATAGGCCATTTGTTTTTGTATAATAAATTTAATTTTTATACCTGTGACTTCATTTTATTACTGCCTTATAAAAAGAGGCACGAAGTTTCGATAAATTTATACATTAATACATTTGTTTTTTTATACATTATATTTCTTGTGTTTATTTATGTATTATATTGTAATATGGGACATTTACATTTCAATATACAGTGATTTTTATTAGTATTCGAACATCATAGTGTTCGAGAAATTATTAAATTAATTGTTTTTTTAATATAATTAAAATAATTATCCTAACAATATAAATTTCCTTTAATTAATATACATAAAATCGCAGAACAATTTGAGCAACGAGGAAACTGTTTCTGTTATTTGATATGAACTTAACGTAACTTGTAATTTTGAACTTTATTATTTGGTAGAACTATTTTTCACGCAAGAAATTATGTGCGTTAAATAAATAAAATTTACGTTTCTAACTATAAATTGAAAGACGAGACAAAATTATACCGAATAAGATGTATAAAGCAAATTTTTAAACACTGTGGTGTTTGAATACTAATAAAAATTACCATATTTATAAACATTTAAGTAATCAATGATTATTATCATTAAAAATTTTATCAACACATTTAGCCTGTATTTAAAATGTTACTAATTACAACTTTGTTTCTTAATTACAGGCTTTGTTTGATCGTCTTCACGTTGTTCACGGTTTTGGCCACGATAGTGATATTGTGTCGTGCGCCACACATAATCGTCCAATAAATAGACTGCCCCGGTCAAGTCACCGAAAAAATGCACAAAAAATGCCAAAGGTAAAATCACTTTCATCTCTTTAATTTCAATTCTTCAGTTTATTTTGTGTCTATTAAAATAATTCTTTTTTTTTATATCAAAATATCATATTCTTTCCTCATAATTAATCCTTACCTTATTTAGGATATTTGAGGTTTGAAATAATTTTTTTAAACTTGACCAGTAGTTAATGAAAGTTCTGAAAATACAATGACATCTATCATCTATCTATCTACTATCATTATATCGTGTCTTTCAATTTTAAATATTGTAAGATATATTTTTTAAGATTTCATATATTATAGTATTCATCTCGATTATAAAATCGTTGTATGACTATATTTTTATGTTGCAAGTAAACTGCGAATTTTTATGAATTTTTAAATTTTTAGAAACATAATTAAACGGGAAATCTAAGTGGAAATTTCATTCTTCTAGTAAATGTTATGACAAATGTCTTATTTTAGATATTTTTACATATTGTATGCATTGTATGCATTTTTGAACCTCCAAATTTTTTATAAATGCATAAAAATCCGCAGTCTAGTTATAAGACATTAAAAATTCAAATACGAATTCCTCCTCCTGTAATCTCCCTTTCCCATTTTTTTCTTTTTTTTTTTTTTCTAATCATATAAATCTGATAAAAGAACTTTCCAAAAAAGAAAATCGAAATTCCGATTCCGAACTCATTTCAATTTTTTAAATTCTGCGACTCGTAAAAAGTCGTGAGATTAATCAAACTCTAGTTTCCAAATTTATATACATATTTAATGCGTACGAAACAACAGGGCATCATTCGTTGAAACACGATTCCTCTTTTCTTTTAGTTTTAAAAACATTGTTGTTCTCAATTACGCGATTTCGTTGCGAGTGATACAGTATAACTTTCGCGTGATTGCCACGCTAAAATGTTCATGATATCAACGACATTAAAGGGAATGCCGCTGTCCATCAATTTCTGATGAACAATGGCACCTACGTGCGTACACGAGTTGTTACATTCGTATATCATGTAACGTCACTCTTCGCGCGACGCGGGACTCGCCCAGAAAACGAAATTAATACAGTATGGAGATGTTAATAATTCGTTTTACATAGCAAGCTTGGCTCGTTCGTTGTCATCGATAATTTCATCAGTATGGTACGCAATTTTCCCGAAACAAAACCGATTGGAATTGAGTTTCAACCCTTCGGGGACGGTGACTAAATTCCATAATTATACTTGTACAAAACGCGGACGTTTAGAGTTATGAAAGTGCCGTCATTTAGAGTTATAAAAGTTGTTGCTACTCGTGAAATTCTAAATCAGATCGGTGTCAGACAACTTGTGAAAAAGAATGGACATTTTTACGTAGTGGAACGGACGGAAAATTGTTATACTGCTGCAGGTATTTGTCAATTTTGTATACTTGAAAGAGAAACACTGTGGACTGATGAACAAACGTACGAAATTTTATGTTTTGTACAGCAGAATATTTACAGTAGAAATCTTCGAAAATATTGACAGTAATATTGACTTATTATAGTATTTAACAGGGAAAGCAAATTTCTGCTTCAGACTCCATTATCGCACTCGTGACGATATGAAAATGCATAAATATTCGCATCTAAACCTGATTTCCCTTGGCATAGTAAATTTCATCCTTTCTTCTCTCAGCTCATTTCTTCACGTATACTGTCTCTTTACTGTTACAAAGTACATTATACTTATACATACACTCGTAACATATTCGTGAAATCCCTCTTACAAAATGTTTGAACATAACCGCGAATTTCATCTGCGATTCAATGATTTTCAAGAGAGAAATCTGAAAATTGCCCGCGGCTGGAGGGTTTAACGATATTTTTTCTCTTCTTTCTTCTCCTTTTCTTTCTCACATTTCTACCTCCTCGCTTGTTATCTGGTACCAGAAGCAACCGAGCCCGAGAAATCGATCGGATCCCGTGTACTCATTCGCTTCTCTTTCTCGCAGAAACGACGACACGTGAGTTTCAAGGAGGCTGCCACGGCGGAACGACCACGAGGAAGGAGAGCGCGTAAACGACTCGCCCTTTCTTCACCGCTGCTCTCTGCCTATCTCCGTCCCTGTTCCCTTGTTTCCTTCCGCGGCGGGAAGGAACCTCTGGAACGGGGAGACTGCACGAGCGCGAGGGACCGTGCTCTTCCAATGCTCGACGGGCGAGCCTCCTCCCGGTGGAGTGGACAGCAAGGGGAGAGAAGACAGGGAAGAAGCGAAGAAAAGGAAGAAGGAAGTGACCGGAAGAGGAGGAATCTCTCTTCGTCGTTGGGTTAGGTTCTCGCTTGCCGACCAAATTACCCAATTGTTACCGTGTTTCGTTCGATTTCGCGAAACGTCCCCCTCGCACGGGAAAAGAACCGCGAGTGGAGAGCGCGATAGGGACCGCGAGAGAGAGAGAGAGAGAGAAAGAGCACGAAACTCGACGCTCGCACTCGAAGGCGATATACACACATACACACACGCACACACACACATACACACACAATCTCATAGGTAGACGTGTTCATACGCGGACAAAGAGGAGAGCAAATAGGAGGGCGCCCCCTCCCCCCTCCCTCTTGACACGTTAAACACTGTTGACAATACACGGCCACGTTGTGCGTTCACTTTCTTCGGCTGAACCTTTTCCCCGTTTTCGGAAACCTAATAATTGTAACGCAGTCGCTTTCTCTTCAACAATCTCCTCTCACCCTTTCTCTCTATCGATCTCTCTCCGGGATAGGTGATCGACGCTCGGCCGTCGTACTCGGCGATACCCGTGATAAAACTTTTAAATTACCGCGTCCCTCGTTTATCGAATAAGCTCCGGGGACGCCGGACTCGTTCGAGGCCGTATTACATACAACGCGGGGAGAAAGTCGTACGGAGACGCGCGTCTCTCCCTCGGGAGAAAGAGAAAGCGTTGTCGCGGCCTTTCACGTAATGATATATATATATATATATATATAGTAACAGACGCGAAATGAGAGAAGGAAGAAGGGACAACAATAATAGTGATAATGATAATAACAATAATAATAATGATAACGATAACTGGTAATAATGATCGATTAACGATAAACGATATTAATGATAAATGAACTAACAATAATGGTAACAATGATTAAATAATGCTAACAATGATACTGTTGTTAATGATATGAACGTACGTATGTTAATAACAAATGAATAATAATAATAATAATAATGATAACAGTAATAATAGTAATAATAATAGTAGTAATAAGTAATGATCATGATAATTATAATCGCTTTGTGTGCGGGCGTTACGATCGAGAATCGTCGAACATAATCGCGCAGCTGAGGGTCTCTCATGGAACTGATACGGTCTTTATAATAACTGCCAAATATAATACCAAGAAGAAACAAAGAAGAAGAAAAAAAAGAAATAAAGAAAAAACTTCGAGGACAGGGGTGTCCAACCTTTACACAGGTAGAAACGTAAGTCGCATTTCTCGCGCATAGGATTGTAAATGTTATTACCGACTATATAAGTAACACGAGTTCGAAAAATAAAAAAAAAAAAAAAAAGGAAAAAACACAGCCTTTAAAAGTGAAACATTTGAGAATCAGCGTGGATAACCCCGTTTATTATTAAAACGTAAATTGTATAATATTAATTAATATTAATTTAACGTTAATTGTTTATTATTGTTTATTATTATCGTTAATATTAATTAATATTATAGTATACACAAATTAATACCGACATAATATAATAACATTATAATATACATATACATACATACATATATATATATATATATATTATATAATATTAAATAATAATGCAAAATAATATTATATAACATATAATATCTAATATTTAAATATTATTAATTCTCGACATTGATTCCATGATTAATTCGATCATGTTCTAACGAAGATGAAAAAAAAAAAAAACAAATGAAATAATAATGAAATTTGCCTTCTAGAGTAACGTTCTAATCGAAAATAACGACGATCGAATGAAACGAAAATCCGACGGGAATCGACGAGGTATAGAGCGAAGTATAAAGGACAAAACTGCCAAGTTGGACAGCCCCTGCTTTCCGTACAGACACGAATCCGAATTCTTGAAAGATCTTCGATAGGTCCGCGACGAAGGGTTCCGCATCAAGCCGCGACCAACATCAGAGATACATCATAACCATAAAATCACGCGATCACATGATCAGCCTGCTTGCAATCTGCATCCTCCTACCGCACGAATGTTCTCAATGACTGTACTCTGACCACTCTAAAATCGTTCTTGTTCAAACTGTTTGCTTACGCTCTCGATAAATGTATCTCGCGCATTATTTTGTTTCACCGCGTTATCCTAATTTGGCTAATATTGTCGACTTGGAGCTTGTCAAGTTTCAACGATTCGTTATTAGTATCTCCTTCGAACGCGACGTCCAAATTGTTTACGAACGCGAATTCAAGCTTACTCGATAAAATTTCAATTTCCATTCGTTGAAGTGGCTTTCGATTGTAATCAGAGAAGACGATGTTGCAACAGTTGTAAAATATTTATTGTTCGGGAATATTTTTCTTTTCATTACAGTTAGATCTTTGTTAAACATAATTGAAGAACCATGAATCGATATTACGACTGAATTTTGCCATTTCCTGTTGAAATTTCCTGCAACATGTAGGTATTTAACACTGGAGAATTGTTCAAAATGTCTCACAGTTGTTACAAAAATTTATTTCCACGTTTCTAAAATTAAAAATTATTTTCTATTGAAAATTGAGAATTATTTGAATGATAGTATTGAATTGATAGTAAAGCCATTTTTTTTTTTTAAATTATATAGTCATTTGATTTTAATTAATTGCGAATATGTTGGATTGTTCTCGCGTAAAATATTTGACGAAAACCTACACTTTTTAATAACGTTACTACATAAATAAAAATTAGATTTTTGCACATAAAATAAGTAAAAAAGTTTCACTTGAAAGATAATTCGCAGCTTATCTTTTCTTATCTCACGGATACGTTTCACGAAATTACGGAGAACATGCTTCGCAACCACAAATCGATCAACGAACAACGAAGACGAACCAATTTTCTGTACGAGATAAAAATTAAATCGCGTCTCGCGTTTCGTATTTTAAACAGAGGTGGACAACGCCGTTACGGGCATGATTAATTTTTAATGTATACTTTTCAGAAATTCAGCGTCTCAATTTGCATTCTCGTGTTCAACGCACGTTCCGTAAAATGAAAGAAACGGGAACAGACAATTCGTCGATCGTTACCGCAGTGTGCGGCAAACCGGAAGTTGCTAGGCGTTTCTCGTAATCGTGGCTCGGAACAACAGCTTGTGCATACAGACGTTTGACGGTCTGGTGCGTAATCACAGTGAAAGCTCGGCGAAACAGCGGTATTTAGCGTGCTTCTCTACGCGCGGATCCTTCGTCATTGAATGGCGTAAACTTCAGTTTAAAGTAATAGGTATATATATCATCCGGCACCGAAGACCGAAACTCGACGGTGTTGAATTTATTTTGACACGTTCCGTGCTGGAAGAGCATTAAACTGCAGGATTAAATTTAAATAGTTAAAATAAAATTAACAAAATTCCGTTCATTAATACAGTTGATATTGTTAACTGAATTTCCGTTGGTTGAATTCATTTACACGTATGTGAATTTGTGCTAACGCGAACGAAAGATAACAGGTGATAGGTAATAGTGACACAACAAATTTAGATAAATAGAGTTCTACTGCGTATGGTGTCTTAAATTCTGTGAACAGTGATAATCGATCGATTTTATTGAACGTTGCGGAAATTTGTTGAAATATAATGAGAAAATAGAGATTCTTAACCCTTTGATTGTTTTAAAATTACCAAACGTCTGAAAGATTAATGCTAAAAGGGCATAGAGCATAATGCATTCATCTTTAAACGCTAAATATATTTTTTGATATATTTATTCAATGTATTGTAACATCTTATCCTCTTTTCTAAAATTTTATTTCACTATTTATTATAAGATGATCAGTGATAAATAACCTAATGTGGATTAAACGTTCAATGGGTTAAGAGTGATATTATTTCTAGGTCTTTGATTAGATTATTTGAATTGCTTGAATTTAAGTAACTTCGAATCACTTTAGTTTGGTTGACTTGTCTTGAAATATTTTCATGTTCCCTTCAGCGAATGTATATTATGATTAAACTGTAATTATATTTGAGAAAAATTGCAACAAACACGATCGAAATGCAACAAGAGTAAAAACAACTTGGAAACTAAGTTTAATGTTTCCTGACAATATAAAAACGCGTAATCTTGACAATATAAAATTATACATATGTTACGCTTGATACTGCAGCTTATTGCAATTGAAACTAGAGCTTGTATTAAAATTATCATTATTGCTTATTATTGAACTAAGCTCATTTCGCTTAAACTAGAGAACATCTTGAAGAAGATAAGTCAGTATACATTTCAAGCATATCCATGAGAATGTTACACCGTTGTAAACTATATAAAATACAACTGCAGAAGTTTCTCGAATTTATCTTGTTTCTAAATTAAAGCAGCTTGTTAATGAAGTTAAAGTTACGCACAAATCCAAGCAACTCGACAAAAACTATTAAATAAAACTTGCGCTACATTACCAAGATTTAGTTAAAAAAAAAAAAAAAAAAGATGATACCATAATATATTGGCACGGAACGTGTTAATCATTAACTTCTACGAATTAACGTCTTTCCAAATAAATATCACCCATCTCGCACATTATTAAAACGGAATTGATCCAAGCAAACGGGCGATCGATAATATCTCGACGAGCTATTTCAATTATCGAAACTTTCTACATCTTCGCCCGGTACATGTTCAATACGTGTATTTAGCCGATATGTACACAGTTAACAAAATACGGGTACGTTTAATATCCTGACGAGCTTCGGCGCGTATCTGCACGCAACAAGAGTATCGAATTAATCGTGTTAATCCCTTTTTACTCTCGCCGATAACGTATCTCATCGTGTAAGTTAACTGCACATAGAAGAGTTAAATATTAGAACTACGAAACTGATATTGCGAAGCATACGTGAGGGTTACGGCGAATTTTGTCATCTTTTTTCTTTTTACTTTTTTTTGCGAAAAGAGTCCAGAATATACCCCAAGAAGACAGGAGAGAGATTAGATTAGGGAAAAGGCGATGAAGATTAGAGAAAAAGGCGTAGGAAGATGTTTTAAGAGATAGAGACAAGTATCGCGCTCCTCGTACAACGAATAGTCAAGTTAAAAATATTCACCATGAAACATACGCGAAAAATAATAATAATGATAATGATAATGATAATGATAATGATAATGATAATGATAATGATAATAATAATCGTAAAAAGAAATAAAAATACAGGATCGCTTTTCGCAGCTGCGTCTGTTTAGAGATTAACGAACCACGGAACAAACGCAGAAGTACAGTCATTGATCTTCGTATCGCACAAAGAGCAAAAAAGAGAGGGAAAGAGAAAGAAAGAATGAAGGAAAAGGAAACCGATAAGTGCTTCACGCGAAACTGTCGAGGCCCGTTCTATTTTTCGCAGAGTTTGGAAAAGCTGCATACGGAATGAGAGAGTATGAATCGTTCGAAACGACGGACGAAAAGGAAAGTGAAGAAGAGAAGGGAAAATAAAAAGGATACCAAAAAAAAAAAAAAAAAAAACGTAATTAAATAATGAAACAAACTTCGAGGTGTTCTGATTAAATACTCAAATTAATCCTGTACATAGAAACATGTTCGCATGGGGCGTGGGACTCAAATTACATCGTAGCGACATCGTAAATAGACATCGTGGTTGCAACATTGTTGGTAATCGTACTCGTTAAGGATTAGGCGTAAGTAAGAATTTAAATAGAAAT